TACAGAAGGACCCCCATATCCACGGGGGTATATGTTCCAAGGACCTGCTGTTGATACCAGAACCATGAATAGTAGCAAACCCTATATATAAGTCTAATACATACATATTATAAAGTTTAATTGATAAATTATGCACAGTAAGTGTTGAATTATCACTTTCATTGAAGGGAAGCACTTCACGGCTTCTCTTAAGCTTTGAAGAACTGCGAGCTTCTCTACTTTTGTGCTTTGGGGTTATTATTATACAAAAGAGGTATTTTTGGGCCGCAGTAAACCATGGATAACTGAAACCGCAAATACCGAATCGGTGAATATGGGGGTTCTACTGTACTGTACATGTCATCGAGTATTTTTACGTGCAGTGGAATCTTGGTTTTCATTTGCCCTGGTTTTCGTCGAATTCGGTTTTCGACGACTCTCTTCATCAAAATATTGTCCCAGTTTTCGTTCATCACCTTGGTTTTCATGCAGGTACATATTAAAATTACTAAGAGTTCCCCTCTAGTCTTAACGCCATAGTAATAATACTAATTATGTAATAATAATCTCTCTTGGGCACATTAAATGTCTTATTTTACGTTAATATAGAAATTTTCATTAATCCGTCTATGATATTTTCTTAAAGATTATATAAGAAACACGTTACATAGCATATAAACATGCATTGTTTATATGCTATGGAGGGGTGGTAGTTGGGTGGTGGGAAAACATTACGTTTTCTCTGGTCCAGCACCAGAGAAAACTGTGTATGAATCTGCGTTGGACCAGTCACCACCTTAATACATAATGCTTTTGTTTACAATTCTCGGCATGAATTATTCATTATTTCTCCCTTTGTTTATGATGGCATCTGAAGGTAGTTGTTAGAAACAGTTAAACTCAGTGAACATGGTATGTCGATGGTAATAATATGGCTCTGGGCTGCATTAAGTATAGTTATGTAGGTAGGTGTAGGTATGTAGCCCAGGTGGACTATACCTACATCTACCAGCTCCCTACACTGACTTCCTACAAATAAGTACTACTCACCTCTTGCCCTACATTAAGACTACAAATATTTTAAGGTAAGTAATGAATGTATTGTGTATGTATTTTACTTTTTATTTTTTTTAATGCCTAGTTCTATTATTAACTTTATATAAGTTAGTGTAAACTTGACAACCCTATGTCTGTTGTGGCATCTACTGTGGCTTTGGGGAAGTCCCTGGGGTTAAATGTGAGTGCCCAGGATGTGGAAGAGTTGGTGGATGACCACAGGGAAGAGCTAACCACTGAAGAGCTGCAACACTATAGTCATTCTCTATGTGTGATGAATGGTTTGAAAAACCGACAAGTTGAAGATTGAGACACTTATGCAGCATATGGAAATCTTTATTCAGGAAACGTTTCGCCACACAGTGGCTTCATCAGTCCAATACAAAGAGGAAGGCGTAAGGAGAGGAGGAGTATGAGGTAATCAGTCCCTCAACCTGGAGTCGATGGACTGAACACATCGACTCCAGGTTGAGGGACTGATTACCTCATTCTCCTCCTCTCCTTACGCCTTCCTCTTTGTATTGGACTGATGAAGCCACTGTGTGGCGAAACGTTTCCTGAATAAAGATTTCCATATGCTGCATAAGTGTCTCAATCTTCAGTCATTCTCTATAAAATGTATTTTTTGTTAATATTTTTGGGTGTCTGGAATGGATTAATTGGATTTATGTACATTATCCTAGGTAGTAGGTTGGTAGACAGCATCTGCCCAGGGAGGTACTACCGTCCTGCCAAGTGAGTGTAAAACGAAAGCCTGTAATTGTTTTACATGATGGTAGGATTGCTGGTGTCCTTTTTTCTGTCTCATGAACATGCAAGATTTCAGGTACGTCTTGCTACTTCTACTTACACTTAGGTCACACTACACATACATGTACATGCGTATATATACATACCCCTCTGGGTTTTCTTCTATTTTCTTTCTAGTTCTTGTTCTTGTTTATTTCCTCTTATCTCCATGGGGAAGTGGAACAGAATTCTTCCTCCGTACGCCATGCGTGTTGTAAGAGGCAACTAATACGCCGGGAGCAAGGGGCTAGTAACCCCTTCTCCTGTATATATTACTAAATGTAAAAGGAGAAACTTTCGTTTTTCCTTTTGGGCCACCCCACCTCGGTGGGATATGGCCGATGTGTTGAAAGAAAGAAAGATGTACATTATTTCTTATGGGAAATATTGCTTTGGTTTTCGTCAGTCTCTCTATGCTCATTGAATTGCTATATATATACAGTTAAACCTGGAAATAAAACTGATATCTGGCTGCAGCATATGAATAAAATACAGCAAACCCATTTTCTGTATTTCAGTGAACCCTTGAATTAATGAACTGATAGGGGAGTGAGGGTGTATAATATTGCTGATTGTAGATTTTGAATTATGAAATTTATTTGACAGTCTGGAATCAGCAGACTACCAGACATTAAGAATATTGTAACCTGTAAAACAGTACAGTACTATATAAGCATTGTAAAGAAATATGAAGTTAAAAGTACTGTACAGTAGTGCTTTATAAAAGTACAATATAAAACAATATAAAACAGTACAATATAAAACATAATGCTAATTTTGCAGTAAAGATGAGGTGTAAACTGCTGTAATAAGTAGTTGTGACCCAGAATAACTTTTATCCTGAGTCAGAGGAGCTGTGAAACTCTATCATCTACATTTAACTTAGCATGGTCTATAAGCTCATCCTTGCTTCTGTGAACATCAGACACTGTTTCTTAACATCATAATCCTCACATACTCATATTACTTAGGCTTCAGACTCAACCTTCCTTGTAAGTTGTTTCTGCTTAACACAGATTCTCTTGTTTCTTCTTGGCACCACCACTTGCTATAGAAGTCATTGTTAACTGCATTTTACTTAATATGTTAATAATGTCACACAAAATACGTAATCCAGGGAAAATTGAAGACTGAATGACTTGTGTATGCATGAGTGAGCACAGACAGTAAACAGGCAGGCAGGCTGTGTCTAGGAAGACAATGAACACAGACAGGTCCTGGTTGAGAATACTTTGGCCCTTACCAGACAAACATCAGGATCATCAGACTTGGTCTGTTGACTCAGAAGACTTGCAGTCTATCACCATGGACAAAACTCAAAATCTATTGACTTTTTTCATTTTGTCAAATGATTCCAGCATTTGTGTGGCCAGTTTTTTGTCTGTAGTTTCTGAAACATGTTAAGTGGGAGTTTGTTAACCTGAGGTTTGACTGCAGTTTGATCAAGAAATGTCAGTTTTGAAATATAATTGGGTTTATATGTAGTGAGGCAACTAAAATGTCAGTAGCAAGGGACTAGTAACCCCTTCTGTATAAAATACTAAATTTACAAAGAAAAAACTTTCATTGTTTTTTTTAGGTCACCCTTGGTGGGATACGGCCGGTTTGTTGAAAAAAAATGCGAGGGCCCAGGGAGGTGAATTCTCACTCAGCAACATTCCACACTGCTCAACCCTTTGACTGTTTTGGTCGTATATATACGTCTTACACGCCACTGTTTCGGACGTATTTATACACATGAATTCTAGCAGCTTCAAATCAAGCAGGAGAAAGCTGGTAGGCTCACATGTGAGAGAATGGGTGTGTGGTCAGTGTGCACCACATAAAAAAAATCCTGCAACACTCAGTTCTTAATGAGAAAAAGAAAACTGACCTTTTTTTTGGATTAAAACGCCGATTATGAGGTGTATTTTCGTATATTATTTATCGTTGTATTCTCGTTTTCATGGTCTCACATGATAAAATGGAAAACATATTACAGAAATAGAGATGATTTTGATTAGTTTCACGATGAAAACGACCTTGAAATTGAGCTCAAAGTAGCGGAAATGTTTGATTTTTACCAGTGTTCAAGAGTAAGCAAATCATGCCACACATCCAATACATGTCAACTGGGGAGTCTAATATTCTTTCACTAGTGCACTGATATTATTTATACCATTTTTACAATAATGCAGTAGTCTGCATAACAGTAAATTTTGTATTTTTTGTATGAATAAAAAAATCAAAATAGAAAGCAATAGTAATTTAAGAGGGGCCTAGAGATGTGACTAATGAACAGAGGATATGTTATTTTAGTGCCAAGAATGTCTACATTGTTTATTCTGGACCCTATTTTGAAATTGGCATCATTTTTAATTTGCATGAAACTGGCCAAATTGCCAATTTCTGACCACTTTATTGGGTAGTTCAAATCTGTAAATGGGCAGTTCCTTGTATTCGACTGATAGAAAGAATGGAGTTCTAAAGAAATAGCTATGAGTTTCGTCAACTGGAACAACGGATTTGGCCAAAAACAGGGCTCAAAGTCGGCAAAATTGCTGATGCGTGTATGTCGTCGAGACTGCTGACTTCACGGGAGTGTAATTCCGTGAGTTTTCGGCCGAATTTCATACTTTTGGTGTCATTACTATCGGGAAAAGATTCTCTATCAATTCATAAGAAAAATAATTTTGTTTATTTCCAAAAATTTTGCGACATAGAATGACAGTTTCAGAAAGGGGCTTTTGACAGTCAAAGGGTTAATAACATGCTTGCTATAAGCTACCTAACTTTCACATTGCTGTGTCTAAATATTTATATTTTATTGGGAAAAGGAATTAATTTTATGATGTTTGAAAGTTTATCCATTTTTTCCATATGTTAATCACTGTACTGTAGTACTTAGTGCAATATTAATTTATATGGCAATTTTTTTTGGAACATAACTCTTGGGCTAAGTGAGTGTTCTATATGAAAAGGTCACTTAGTAAAAAGTAAACAATATTTTCAGGAAAGATTGAACTCAGGATATGTTACACTGAGGTAAAAAAAAAAAATTGAAATGATATTCTGTTTAAAAGTGAAGATGAATTTAGATGAAGGTCACTGTGAGGTGGAAAAAATGTAATAATTGACTTGACACTGCTTTATATGCATTAATTAATGCTTACCTTTTGTATATGGTTTTCTTACAGCAAGTTGTTGATGACTGGATAGATGCATATAAGGACAATCGTGATGGGTCACTCTTACAACTGATGCAGTTCTTCATTAATGCTTCGGGGTGCAAGGGCAAGATTACACCACACATGCAGGCTACCATGGAACATGCTGAGATCATCAGGCGAATGACAGAGGAATTTGAGGAGGTAAAATTTTTGTTACTGGTTATATAACTTTCGGTTTGTATTTTTGTGTGGTGTACTAAGAACACTTAGTCGATTAGCAGCAGACCTCTTCGTACTATTTCAGGTAGCCTTCGCTTTTTCATGCTGCTGGATTAGGCACAGGTAAGTTGTGCTCATGAATATATATTCTCTCTCTAGTTTTAGCCTAACCCATTTTGTTACCACATCTTAATGTGATACAGATTCATCTATTTGTGGCTTGCAGGAGAGTGGGGAGTACCCATTAATCCAGAGCGGTCAGCAGTGGAAGAAGTTTCGCAGTAACTTCAGTGAATTTGTGCAGTTTTTGGTGAAACAGTGCCAGTACTCCATAATCTATGACCAGTACCTCATGGACAACATCATCTCCCTGTTGACCGGTCTCTCAGATTCCCAGGTTCGAGCATTCAGACACACAGCAACTTTAGCAGGTTAGTAATATTTCTGCTTTAAAGCTCTGATGAATTGCTAGGCATTTTATCATCTCATAATTATCTTGAAACATCAGTATGTGTGACTTCCATGTAACTTTTAGATTGATTTGCCTGTTTTTGCTTTCTATATTGTCTAGCTGTTTGTTTACTAAAGTTAGCCATGAGCTGCTCCCAGCTGACTGCTGAATTCATCATCATCTCTCTTTATAGATTAAAAAAAACCTATTTTTGTTCTTGTTTATACAGTACACTATAGCCAACTTAGACTATTCATAGACTTAATGTGAAGTTATCCTGAAGTCCAAAATTTACATTCCATATAAATGACTAGTACAGTGTGCCATTGGAAAGCTGACAATAAGTTGTTTTTAGATAAGTTTACCGAGTAATTTTTTCCAAAGTTATGACAGTTTGTTAAGTTTGTTAAAAATACAAAATGTGGTAAATGTCATATGCTCAGTTTTTGTATTTCTAATCAGCTGTAAACAACATAAATGAATTCACCTGACATTTATTTTAAAAAATTAATGATATTTTATCCCCTCTCTCAAACCATTTCTTGGACAATCCTTCCACCTTCTACCTTCTGTCACTGATTTATTCACCTTCATCATCCTATCCCTGGTCATTCTCTCTACTTGTTCAATCCACCTCACCAATCCTTCCTCAGCTCTGAATTATACCCTTAGTTACACCACATTGCCTTTTGTTTCTATACTTCTAATTCTCTGCATATACCACATTGCACTCAAACATGACATCTCTGCTGACTAGCCTCCGTATTGGTGCAGCATTCAAAACCCATGCTTCATACCCATGTAAAAGTATTGGTACCACTATACTCATGTACATTTTCCCTTTTTGGTTTTCACAGATAAACTTTCATTTCCACAGATGCTTCGACCCAACTCACACCTACATTGTTAACCTTATCTTTCATAGACCCATCTACTGACATGTTCACTCCCAAATACAGTGGTCCCTCGTTTTTCATAAGTATCGGAAGTTGTAATTTTCAAAAATCGTAATTTTTTTCTTGAAAGCATTGACTCGCGAATCGTCGTTTGACTCACAAATAGTCATTTATCCCAGACTCGTCCGCACGCCTCGAGCGGCCCCACATTCCATTCCCAGCCAGTGTGCCATTGTTTATCAGTGATTGAGGACGATCCCATGTGTTCATATGATACATTTCATAATATTCCATTTGTTTTAGTGCTTGCAACTGCTAAATAAGCCACCATGGTTCCAAAGAAAGCTTCTAGTGCCAGCCCTTTGGTAAAGAATGTGAGAAACACGATATAATTCAAGAAAAAGTCTAGAAAAATATGAAAGTGGTGGTGGTAGAGGGTGGTAGCAATTGTGATGGTGGTAGAGGGTGGTAGCAGTTGTGATGATGGTAGAGGGTGGCAATGATTGTGATTCAGCAATTCTATTAACTCCTCCATCCATCAACAACAGCCTTCAATAAAGGTAACTGTCATGTTGAATGTTCATTCTTTTGTGCATGTAAATCTATCTTTAAGGTAAAAGACTTTTTTTTTTTTTTTTTTTTTTTTTGATACTTATGGATGTCTGCAACGGATTAATTTGAGTCTCATTATTTCTCATGGGGAAAATGGGTTAACAAATCATCAATTTCAATAATAGTCACACTCTGTGGAATGGATTAATTACGAAAAATGAGGGACCACTGTATCTAAATTCATCCACTTCTTCCATTCTCCCTCTCTAAAATATTCAGCCTGTTATTATCTACACTTTTTTTGTTATCCTCATCACCTTGCTCTTTTCCTACTTTTACATACTATCATTTTTTTTCCATTCCTTTATCTCCACACCGTAAATACTGCATTGTTTAATACCCATCTTGGACTTGGGTCCTAGAGGTGAGAAATACAGTGCCTGCACTCTGAAGGAGGGGTAGACATAGTTTGCAGTTTTTGAACTGTAGTATTGGCATGACTGTGGCGAGACAGTGATAGGGTGAGTGATCATGAGTAATGATGACAGTGAATGGTTCAGAGAACCGACAAGTTGATAAATTAGACACACGTGCAGCACTTGGGTATCTTTAATGAGGAAACGTTTCACCACACAGTGGCTTCATCAGTCCATACAAAGGAGAATGGTGAAGAACAGGAGGAGTTTGAGGTAATGAGTCCCTCAGCCTTGAGTTAATGTGGTCAGTCCATCAATCTTGAAAAGAATACAGCATATGTGCGAAGAAGTAGATTATATACTGTAGGCAGGAGAGGTGCAGCAGTTGTAAGTGGTATCACATTTGTCCAATGTGGAAGTAGGTCATGCCCAAGGGTTAGATCCCAAGATGTTGCTGTGTCAGACAGGAATGTAGATGAATGGTTCAGAGAATCGACAAGTTGATAAATTAGACACTTGCAACACTTGGGTATCTCATATCGTGCCTACAGTATATAAGCTACTACTTCGCACATATGCTGTATTCTTTTCAAGATTGATGGACTGACCACATCGACTCAAGGCTGAGGGACTGATTACCTCAAACTCCTCTTATTCTTCACCGTTCTCCTTTGTACGGGCTGATGAAGCCACTGTGTGGCAAAACGTTTCCTCGTTAAAGATACCCAAGTGTTGCACGTGTGTCTAATTTATCAATCACACCTTGAAGCATCCTGAAATGAAGACAATAAGTAAATAAATAAGACTCCAAACTAGAGCCAAGAAATTATAACACTAATAGTTAACCAGATAGCAACAGTGTTGTGTAGCTCAAGTTATCATTGTAAGGAAGCATAGAGGCTATGCAGTGGAATTTTAATTTTTTTTTTTTTTAACAACTCGGCCATCTCCCACCGAGGCAGGGTGACCCAAAAAGAAAGGAAATCCCCAAAAAGAAAATACTTTCATCATAATTCAACACTTTCACTAACTCACACATAATCACTGTTTTTGCAGAGGTGCTCAGAACACAACAGTTTAGAAGCATATACGTATAAAGATACACAACATATCCCTCCAAACTGCTGATATCCCGAACTTTGCCTTTAGAGTGCAGGCATTGTACTTCCCATTTCCAGGACTCAGTCCGGCTATATAAAAATAACCAGTCTCCCTGAATCCCTTCACTAAATATTACCCTGCTCACACTCCAGCAGATTGTCAGGTCCCAAATACCATTCGTCTCCATTCACTCCCATCGAACATGCTCACACACACCTGCTGGAAGTCCAAGCCTCTCGCCTACAAAACCTCCCTTACCCCTTCCAACCTTTTCGAGGACAACCCGTACCCCGTCTTTCTTCCCCTACAGATTTAAACGCTCTCCATGTCATTCTACTTCGATCCATTCTCTCCAAATGACCAAACCACCTCAACAACCCCTCTTCAGCCCCCTGAATAATAATTTTATTAACTCCACACCTCCTAATTTCCACACTCCAAATTTTCTGCATAATATTTAGGATGGCTTCTCCGCTGGATTAAAGGTTACCTGTCCAACAGAAAGTCATCTGTGTTGTTCCAGGGACAGAGAAGTGTAACTAAAGATTTTGAATTAGGAACCCCACAGGGAGGTGTGCTTAGTCTCACCCTTCCCACCCATTGCCCTTAGACAGGATATCTCCACTGCCTTCAACTGCCTCCTCGCTGCTGCATTCACAACCCAAGCTTCACACCCATATAAGAGTGTTGTTAATACTATACTTTCATACATTCCTTCTTTGCCTCCATAGATAACATTTTTTGTCTCCACATATGCCTCAACACACGACTCACCTTTTTTCCCTCATCAGTTCTATGGTTAACCTCATCCTTCATAAATCCATCCGCAGACATGTCAGCTCCCAAGTATCTGAAAACATTCACTTCTTCCATACTCCTCCCCCCAATTTGATATCCAATTTTTCTTTATCTAAATCATTTGATACCCTCATCACTTTACTCTTTTCTATGTTCACTTTCAACTTTCTACCTTTACACACACTCCCAAACTCGTCCACTAACCTTTGCAATTTATCTTTAGAATCTCCCATAAGCACAGTATCATCAGCAAAAAGCAACTGTGTCAATTCCCATTTTATATTTGATTTCCCATAACTTAATCCCACCCCTCACCCGAACACCCTAGCATTTACTTCTTTTACAACCCCCATCTATAAATGTATTAAACAACCATGGTGACACTACACATCCCTGTCTAAGACCTGCTTTTACTGGGAAGTAGTCTCCCTCTCTTCTACACACCCTAACCTGAGCCTTACTATCCTCATAAAAACTCTTTACAGCATTTAGTAACTTACCACCTATTCCATATACACATGCAACATCTGCCACATTGCTCCCATATCCACTCTATCATATGCCTTTTCTAAATCCATAAATGCAATAAAAACTTCCCTACCCTTATCTAAATACTCTTCACATATATGCTTCAATGTAAACACTTGATCTACACATCCCCTACCCACTCTGAAACCCCCTTGCTCATCCGCAATCTTACATTCTGTCTTGCCTCTAATTCTTTCAATTATAACCCTACCGTACACTTTTCCTGGTATACTCTTATTCCTCTATAATTTTTACAATCTCTTTTGTCCCTCTTCCCTTTATATAAAGGGACTATACATGCTCTCTGCCAATCTCTAGGTACCTTCCCCTCTTTTTTTTTTTTTTTTTTTCAACAAGTCGGCCGTCTCCCACCGAGGCAGGGTGACCCAAAAAAGAAAGAAAATCCCCCAAAAGAAAATACTTTCATCATCATTCAACACTTTTACCACACTCACACATTATCACTGTTTTTGCAGAGGTGCTCAGAATACAACAGTTTAGAAGCATACACATATAAAGATACACAACATATGCCTCCAAACTGCCAATATCCCTCTTATATGCATTTATTAAACAAAAATACCAACCACTCCAACACTATATCCCCCCCTGCTTTTAACATTTCTGTCATGATCCCGTCAGTTCCAGCTGCTTTACCCCCTTTCATTCTATGTAATGCCTCACGCACC